AACAGGATGTTTACAGCCTGAGGAAACACTGCCAGAGCAGAGTGACCACGAGCAGGCAGCAACCACAGCTGGAAACTCGAGTGAAGAGGAAACGCAGGCCGAGCCAGGTTTCCTTCAGATATGCCAAATATAACCTCTCTGACAGCCGTTCAGTTTACACACACACACAGACTACAGTACCTGCCCAGGTTAGATCAGGTGGATGTAGCAGCATGATGTCAGATCCTCTTTTAATACATAATGCAGCAGTGGTTAAAATGACTATCTGCAGGTGACACCAAACACCTGCAGTCAGTTTTGTGATAAAATACTGTAGCTATCATATATTATTCCACCAGAATTTGGTGCTGACCTCATCATTGTTGACATTGTTACTTTATATTTTGTACCTCAAGTGTTTTCAGTTGCAATGGAATGGTTCCTTCCAAACTCTAAAAGATACTATACCTGTTATTTATAGCAATTAAATGATGAAGTCAGACTTCATCCAAAGCAAACATGTACATTTATATGTAAGCCTTTTTTGTTGAGAGGCTACACAAACAGTGACTTGTTAGGATCCCGAGTTGTTCAGTTGTTTTGGAGTTTGATTTATTTATCCTAGTTTGATTTTACTATCTTAATCTTTTCTTTGATCTTTTACTTCAGTTCTTCTTAATGTTCCTAGTTATGTTCATTTCTTGTTTCCAGTTATTTTTAGTTGCTCTAATTTAATTATTTTTTGTTAGTCTAGTCATTCCCCAGTGGTAGAATTATTTCTTTGTTCCCAGTGTACTCTGCCTCACCCCCTGTGCTACTTTCTCTCTCTCTATCTCTCTTTCTCTCCTCAGTCTCACTCCTGGTCTCCCCTCACACCTGCAACTCGTTAGCTCATCAGCCTAGGTCTTTTGTCTCAGCATTCAACCTCCCCAATATTTAAGCATCTCATCCTCAGTCACGCCTTGCTGGATTCTCTCATCTACTCCTGTTGTTCTTCCTCTCTGTTCCCTGTCATCCTCTTCCCTCAGATTTCATGTTTGTGTTCCTATTTGACTTTTTGGATCTCCTACTAAGTTTGTTAATCTTTTCATTGAAATCACAAAAACTCAACTCAACATTACACACCTGCTGCATATGGGTCCATTCTACAAGACATGACTAACAATGAAAGACAAAGTGAAGTCACCCTTTATGAAACACACTGCAAAGTTTGACTTAAAAAGTTGTAGGAAGTACTTGTCTGTAACTGTTTATGAATAGGTCAAAATGTTGAATAATGAATGCAAAATCAGTATTCAATGAGACAGCAAAGCTTCTTGATAAAATGTGTTTTTGTGACACTATTAATCAGGTGTAGTTTACATCTTATCTTACTGAACACAAACTGAGATGAGATAACCTTTAGATTGCTGACAAAAATATGTACTTTAAAACACACAGTTAATACATCTAGAAACCAGTGATCAAGCCTGAAATCTGGGCTAGCGATGAACTAAGACTTGAACCTTCAAAGTCACATCAAGACATTTACAAATTCAGTCTTCTATCACCTGAATAACATTTATAGGATTAAAGGACTAATGTTTCAGCAAGATTCGGAGGAATTCATCCATGAGTTTAACTTTAGTTGCATTGATTACTGCAGCAGCATCTTGACAGGTTTATCTAAAAATTCAATCCTCCAGCTGCAGCTGATCCAGAATGCTGCTGCTGGAGTTCTGACTAAAACCAGGAAGATGGAGCACATCACCCAGTTCTACAGTCCTTCACTGAGAGAATAGACTTTAAAATACTGTTGTTAGTTTATAAATCACTGAACAGTTCAGCACCACAATACATTATAGACCTGTTGTCATGGTATCACCTCTAGTGCTGCTAGAACCACTCCTAAAGTATTTACAGGATCTCTGCATGTGTCATGCACATCAAACCATGAAACACTTTTTTTCCCTAATACTAGAATTGCCCTACTCGTAGGAAACATGTTGGAGTAGCTCTGATACTTTCATTCTGATTTATTCTTTTTGAAGAGTTTTTCTTCTATTTTTTGTGGTTGTTGTTTTGGTTGAGCAGTTGCACATTTGGACAATCGTTCCTTCTGGTTTTGAATGTTGAGCAGCAGGAGGGATTTTTACTACTTTACTTTTGGACAGACAGCTGTGATGTATTCCTGTGACAACTGGGGATTTCATGGATGTGGAGCAAGGATCATATCCCCTACTCTAACATCTCTGAGTGCGGCTTTCTAAACACACAGCAAGGCAGATTTAAAGAAGAGCAGCAGAAGCAAATGAGGTGGATTAGCAGTGCTTGTCAACAACTGATTATGTCATCCATGTCACTGTGAAATATTGCCTCAGCTGCCCACACATTGTACAGTTATCATGTTATGACAGTCATGAGACAGTCAGAATTTTCCTTGACATTTTTTCAACAGTTGGGCTTTTAATATGGACGACATAAACATATTTTTATATGGTCCAATCATATGACTATGAAATATGAATATGAAACTTATTGTAGATGGTTTTTGCGGTTAATCTTTTGGTAAATGGCTTTTCCAATTATTTTGACCACTCAAAGCATTTACACTAGTCACATTCACCCATTCGAACTCACAAACACTCACACAATTGTACACCGATGACATGTGGCAGGAGGAAGCTGGAATCGAACCTACAACCTTCCAATCAAAAGACAATTATGCTACCCACAGAGCCACAGTCGCCCAAATTAGTCACCCCAATTTATTTGATGAATAAATTATTTCGAACAGGGTTTAATGGCTCAGTACCAGGGATTTCCCAGCTTTTTGACATCTCGCTCTCAAACATGGTGGACAAGAACCATCATCGGTGAGAACAGAAGTGTGCAGACAGGATCCAGCTGGATCTCTGGCAGAGGGGGGACTAGGAGGCTGGTGTCTGGCACTGCTTCCATAGAGTCTTGGTGCAGGGAGGAGGCCGGGTCTCCTGCAGTGACCCAGGGGAATGTCTGGGAACGGGGTAGAGTTTCTGAGCCAGCCAGTTTACAGGGCTTCTGTCTGGGAGTCACATTTATTCACAGCTTTTCTTTCAAGGTGGGGGACAGTGAACAAGGGGGCCACATCTATTTCTGCTTGCAGCATAACTGAAGGAAAAGCTGGAGATTTGAGCAAATAATTTAAATGTAATTGCCTAAAACTTACCTAAAACCAAGAACATCATGAAAAAGGATGAAAAACTGTTTGATTTAAAAAATTTACAAATTATTGAAAAAATAAAATAAAATAAAAAATCTCCCTATGGGAAATGCTCCCTATTAGTAGGGAGCATTTCAGAATGTAACAGGGATGTTCCTGCACTGTATAAAATTACAGTCCTGCTTGATGGGTGTCATTCCTGCTGTTAGATATTTGTAATCCTATCACGATACTGAAGACAGGCAGGAATAGTTACAGTATCTGTGGCCGAGTCGTTTGAGGTGAGGACCTCATTTAACCAGAGCAAATGTTAAAGTCCAAATATTACATGTAGACAGCTTTTAGTCAGAAAGCCAGGAATCTGAAGGAATGTATGTTTTACACAGAAATTTAGAAATGCTTCTGCATTTATCATTTTCCTCTTACAGCTGAGACCGCAGCAGCTAGTGCAATTCAATGATCTAAAATTTTAAAGTTGAGTATTTATAAAGCGATTCTCCTTGCAACCGTAATGGGATTATTTCACTACTGCCTCCTAATGTAAAAAGACACACATAACAGCCTGGACCAGTCCACCAGAGCAAATATGGCAAGGAAAGACCCCCGTGCTACTTCCCATTTTAATCTCATTGTTTTGGTTCAGGCTGTGAGCTCATTATGTAATCCAGCTCTGGTGTCTATGTGATGATGAGGAAGATGATAATAGCTACGATAATGAGACAGATCATATTAGCCTTTAAAGATTCCTAAAATAGCATCACAAATAGTTTCATCCCCATAAGGAGGAATGGACCGAATAAGTGGAGCAGGTCCAAAAATAGGAGCTGGCACAAAGCGGTCCAGTGCCATTCAGTAAATGATGATGATGATGACACGGTTAGATTGAAGCATTACTGTTAATCCTGCAGACTGCTGACCTAACCTTATTTATCCTATAGTTGCCAAAAGGATTAAGGATTTCTGTGTTTGTTTTTTGCAACATAAACTTTATTTACAGCTAGTGAAATGACAGTATTGTATTAAAAAGTGATCATATCCTTGTAACTCTTTCACAAAATACTCTGAAATACTTCAGATAACTTTTTTGGAGTTGATTTGACAAAATGCATAGCTGTGAAGTAGAAAGTCTGGCTATAAATGCTGTTGTTTTATGCAAGAGCTCACAGGTGTGTTAGAGAAAAAGTGAAAGAAGAGCATCAGCAGACAGAGTGTTCCAGAGTGTTAAAAGGTTTCTTTAAACCTTTCCCACCGGCCTGTAGCTGTTGAGGTCTTTTGGGTGTGTGATCTTTGGCACTGGTACCATGCAGGATGTCTTCCACAGCTCTGGGACTTTCCCTAACCTCAAGCTGAGATTAAAGATGTACCCAGTCACATCACACAACTCATCTGCACAGGTCTTGAGAAGCCTTGAGCTGATGCCATCTGGACCTGCAGCCTTCCTGGTCTTTATCTTCCTGAGCTCACTTCTCACCTGGAGTGCTGTGAATGTCAGGCTGGTTTGGGGGGGGTGGGGTGGTTGTGCTGGAATGTATGTCAGCAGGAGAGATGTTTGGAGGTAGCTGTGCATTGAGAGGAAGGGGGGTGAGTGTAGGAGAGGGGAGAGGAAAGCGTGTCGGTCTTGCCAGACAGGAAGGTGTCAGCAGTGCCTGTGTAGTGGGGGGAGTAGGAGAGTGATCAAACCTATTGAAGAATAGATTGATTTCATTCACCTACTTCTGGTCCCCACAATTCTGGAATTGTGAGGACAATGCCACAATCGTGGGATTGACTGGGTCTGACTGACCCAGGGCTGTCAGTTAGACAAGGTTGACTCCGCCCCCTGATGAGTTCAGTTTGCCTATCAACCTGGCATTGGAGTGGAGGATGCCATCATCCACCTTCTACACAGCTCTCTTTCTCACCTGGAGAATACTGGGAGCACAGTGAGAATCATGTTTTTTGATTTCTCAAGTGCTTTCAATACCATCCAACGCATGATACTGAAGGACATGCTGGAGTACATGGGTCTGGACCACCACCTCATCACCTGGATACTGGACTACCTCACAAAACGACCACAGTATGTGAGGACCCAGGGCTGTCAGTCAGACAAGGTTGTCTGCAGCACGGGGGCTCCACAAGGAACAGTCCTTGCCCCCTTCCTCTTCACCCTGTACACTGCTGACTTCCAGTACAGCTCTGCCAGCTGTCACCTGCAGAAGTTCTTGGATGACTCTGCTGTCGTCAGCCTCATCAAGGATGGAGATGATGAGGAGTACAGAGAACTGACTCAGAACTTTGTGGAATGGTGCC